TAATACAACTCAGTATAGTATATATTATGTGAAAGCGTAAGTCATAATCCGAAGGAATTGAACGACGACGACAATGGTGATCTTCTATTATCTATGGAAATATCCATAGACATAAATAACATATTATGTTTCATAATAGGCAAACAAATAATTAAAAAAAAATAATAAAAAATTTTTTCGGAAATTTTTTTTGGTTGACCAAATTACTTATCCCCAAGTCCAAAAGGAAAATAAAAAGATAAAAATTGAGTTGTGTCATTTTAGTGATTGGAAATATATTACATAAACTGATATATACATTTACGAAACTCCAAACTCTGCACCAATTATTTATAATTTTACTTTACTTATCTAAATAAAAAAATAAGATCATTTAAAATAAACATTTTAGTACATTTGATTTGTAGAATACATCAATGATCAGTATTTATATTTAATTTATTTTTAATGATCTGATAATTCCGATCGAGTGTAATTTTGTGAAAATAAATGTAATACTCAGCAAAATAAATAAATGAACACTTTTAGGCTTAAATAATTAAAGTCGATAACATGACCGTATTTTGACAGTTGACATTTTGTTTGGTGTATGTGTCAAAAATAGTAGACCTACAGTTTTTGTTTAATTCAACAAATTGCTTTAGCGGGCGGCAATACCCGCACTTCTCCTACCTATTGTTCATGAACCATATTTACATTTATAAAGCGCTATAACATTTTTTCATAAATACTAACACGAAACCTGTAAGTCATTTTCGGAACCTACATTTAATCGTAAGAAAGGAACCCTTATTGAAAAGTAATGTAGAAAACCATAAATAGCATTATAGTGAACAATGCAAAAGAAGTTCTTGGAACAAAGACACAATAAAAAAAATGGTTCGATGAAGAATGCTAACAAGTGATTCTGGAAAGAAAGTACACAAGAACTACATACTCAGACGAACCAGAAAGAGGGAAAAGAATTTGAGACCAAAAGAAGAATAGCAAAAAGACGAAGAGACAAGAAAAAATCATCCAAATCAAACTATGGAACATCTACCTTATTTTTAAAAAAGGAGACAAATTATTATGTCAGAATTATATTTATAATAGGCATCTTTCTTCTTTGTTCGGGACACAAAATACTCATTCACATTCATCAGTTGACGAACAGTTTCCCCAATGTCAGATAATTAATAGTTCTGTGACCAGACAAGACCGGTTCGGCGCCGGGACTGTGACGGGACTGATGTGTTTGAATCGACCTTAAAACCTCTCGCTGAAAAAATTATCGGAGACTATCAAACAGAGTTTAGGCACAGTATATCGCTAAAGAAATTCTTTTATAAATAAACTGTGGTTTAGGCAAAATAGATCTACCCTCGGCGTCGTCCAACTCTTTACAGTCACACAATAATTAAGGCGGCTACAGACACAACTGCAAGCTTGTCCAGCATGCTTGTTCAATCTTTTTGTACAAGTATGCACAATTTGCCTTTGGCACCACATGTACAAGCATGCATGATAAAAATAGAAGTTCTACTTGTCATAGCAGATGCAAATTATAAATTTATTTTATTTGATTTCGGTACAAATGACAGTGTATCAGATGAGGGTGTCCTTCAGAATACAGAATTTTTTTAGAAAACTTCAGGGAAACTTGGGAAATCGGGAAACATTCCCGTGAAAAAAGAAGTTGCAAATGAGTCGCGAAAGCTACCGTTTATTTATGTCGCAGATGATGCTTTTCCTTTGACGCCTGATATGCTGAAACCATACAGACAGAGTAATTTAACTTATATTGAAAAAAAAAAAAAAATACAACTACAAGTTATCGAGAGCACGGAGAATTATGGAGAACATCTTCGGGATTATGAACAATTAACAAAAGCAACTTATGCTTTACACAATTATTTAATGTCGACAGTAAACCAAACTTATGCTCCACTGGCCTCTTTTCACTTAGAGGACATAGAAAATTGTATGATTCGCGTTGGCTTGACTTCTAAAAGTTCTAACATGTCATCATTACAAGGGTCTTACATGACAGGAAATACGCCATTTAATGCTAAAGAAGTTGGAAAAAATTTCTGAATTACTTTTCCAATGAAGGAGTAGTACCTTAGCAACAACAGTTTATACATAAATAAAATATGGTATATTAAGTATGAATCGACTTTTTATGCAAATAAATAAAGGTGAAATGTATAATTAATAAATGACTAATTCAATTTATGTGAATAACTACTTAGGTACAAATATGGAAAAAATTAAAACTCACCTCCGTCTCATTCCAGTTAGATAATGATTTTCCAGGTTTCTCTTGATCTCGTAAAAAGTGAAACAGGTGCTAGTGCCAAAGTGTGGGCTCATAACGTTCATCTTCATCCATTCCAGAGTGATCCTCATATTCCACTTTTTTCTTTTATAAATAGTAATGAAGTATAGTTTATTTTTTTAACAACTGCATCCTTGTCGGCATTAACGTCAATTAACCTATATTTTTCTAATAATATTTTGTACGCTGCATCCCCCTTTCCTTTATTATGATAATCTTTGGATTTTACGTGCCAAAGACATGGCTGATTTTGGTAATCTTGAATAGACTCTTCCAATAATTCACGGTTAACCTTTTTGAGATCACTAGTCATGACGAAAATGACTCAAATTCTACCTCACAAAGCAACACAACGAACTCTAACTTATTCAAGCTTGAATATCTTGGGTACACCACACGTAGCACGTGCCGTTTTGCTTGCGCAAGCGTGCTTAATTCAAGCATGCATAATTAAGATCTTTTCAATCCTCAAGCCGCTTGTACAATCACAAAGCTTGCACAACTTTTCCCTACAGACACCCAAGCGTACTTGTAGAAAAAGAGTGAACAAGCATGCTGGACAAGCTTGCATGTGTGTCTGTATCCGCCTTTAGCTAAAGCATGGGGGTATGAAATAGACGTTTACAATATCTGTGTATACTTTAAGCACGTCTATGATTCAATATATACAACAAAACTACCTAATATATTGCAAGAACTTAGCATGCCAGCTAAATTAATAAAAATAAGGCAAATTATAGAAACAGAAACACATGTTTCTGTTTCTATCATATTCATATTCAAGAATATTACAAAATTCTGGCCCACTAGATCAAACCAGTACAATAATTGTTACAAAAAAAATACTGTAATATTTTTTGTATTTTTACCCATTTAAAAATTAACTATACGCGCTCCTTTAATAGTACCTACTGATAAACGTAATTTGTTACTATAAATGCCAGCAGGTTGTTACCACGCATGACGCATGTCCAACTAAAGATTCAAGATTTAGTAAGTAACTGGTTGATAAAAAAAGAAAACCTCACTATTATAAACTGTGTGTCTGTTAGTTAATTAATTCTTAGTGTACGTTTTTTTTTCACAGACAGTTGGTAAGATTTTAAGTTATTTATCATAATTAGGCATGTTAACGTGTTCAATAAATATCTATATCCATTCTAAATTGTGCTAATTTAATTAGGTATACAGAAATAACTATTATAATATAATACCACATCGTAAACTGCATACTGTTTATTATTGGTTTCTGAATAACTGGTTGCATCAGGGACGTAACAGACCGGTTTTTAACTGGGATTAAAAAAACTAACTTATGCTTTGAAAATACCACATATTAATTACTTTATAAAAATGTATACGTACAGATATTACCATAGAAAGATATTATTGGACTGGTGGAAAAATATTTAGTAGGGATCACAAATTTAGAATGCAAGTTTTTAGTACTTGTATATAATCGCTTATTTCAGAAACAGCCTAAGTCACATTCGGACAGTTTGTAGGAGATGGAAAAAAAAACGTTTTGAAAGTTTACACTTAATGTAAGAGTTTATCAAAAACAAAAGCATTCTAAATCATTACTAAACTCTTTGAATAAACATTTTTAAAATGGACTTAGATTATTTTAGTAGTGAAATGTCAGGTTTCAAAACAAAAGTATTTGTTACTAAACAATTTTAGTATGACAAACAGAGTTGGATTTCTGATTCGTGGAGCCTTGTCTCACCTCTTATATTTAGCCTTTCCTCGAAGTTTTCTGCCCATCTTTCTAGTATCTAGTCTTGATCACCAATGATCTCCCCTGTTCTATTTCTAACGATTGATAATCTAGGTTTGAATTATTTTTTTTTCGCGTCGAGTTGTCGTCTAGATTTCAGTCCGGACACTTTATCTTGAATTCTCGTAACATGCTGTTTTGAAGGTGAGAGTCGGATTTGAGTAGAAGAGGCTAAGTGGAGTAAACTGGAAGCAACTCCATGTTTTCGCATTCTACCCCTTTACCCCCCTGTATTCAAGATCAGAAAACAGATAAATTTACAAAATTAATTAAACGACAATTCGAATGTAGAAATATTTTATGCCCAGTAGTTCCGGTTGTTTCCGGTGTATGTTTCCGATTGTTAATCCATTTTCATCGGCATATTGCCGTATAATTTAATACATTCAAGTATATTTTCATCAATGTAAACCCATCCACTGTTTGGTTTTGTGATTAGTTGTGGAAGTGCTCCAAAGTTTACTGAAGATTAGTCTGAAAACGTTCTGAACTTTTTAATTCATTTGGATTTTTTAACTTAATTTTTTAATTAAATATACCAATTTTAACAGAAGTTTTTTCCTTCGATGTTTGAGTTTTTTAACTAATATGGTATACAGTCAACTCCCAGGAACTATCCTTTGGTAAGTAAATAATAATACTTTTGTATTTATTTTGATAGGTGGAATACAGTTTTGCTAGATGAAAAGTATGTATTCTATGACGCTAGGTAGGTTTTAATGATGCACTGGTCAAGATGTACGATCTCTACTTACAAAGTTGCTTATTAACATTGATCCCTAACAAAATCTAATTATCTAATTATAAACTCAGTATCTTATGTCCCTGATGATGCTGATAAATTTCAGAAATCCAAAAATGCGAAGCAGTTGTTTTATTTCTATTATAATTATACTGACTATGGGTACATGCAATGCTCAAACTTACAGAATTTACAACATGAATCCCAAAGTCGAAAGAGTGGAAGAAATATCAACGACAGAATTGGGAGAAGGACCCCACTGGGATGCGGAAACTCAATCCTTATATTTGGTGGATATCTTTGGACAGGCGATTCATCGATACGTTCCTGCTACTAAGCAACATACTAAAGTAGTTTTAGGTAAAGTTGTTTATATTAAAGTTTCATAATTAAGTAAAATATTGGAATATAAATTGAGAATCATTGGTAAGTTTAGAAAAAAAAAAATAAACATTTGAGAGTTTTCCATTTAGTTGTGTTCCATGTAATGTGTTATATTATGTTGGATTGAACGAAATCTATGTCGCCTTATACTTTCTCTTATAATGTGCACTTCTTTATCCTTCGACCAATACATATCAACTTGACGCGGAGTGTGATGGCCAGATAATATACATATGCCAATAAAATTTGTTTTAAATCTATGTCATTCATTTCAAAATTGTGACGATTATTTTATCTTTTTATATATTTATAAAATATAGAACGCTAACAATTAGTTGTTTATCAAAAATAGTGAAAAAACTTCAATATGTGACTTGTCTCCATGGTTGGCTTTTATATTGTCCTAATATCAATCAGACTGATGTTGAATTACTACTGAGTACGAAGGAGTACCTGTTTTTAGCCAACTTAAAACAAATTTGGATTTACTACCTGCAATATCTGATTTCATTCGTTTTTCACAAATAATATTATTATCAATGTCTTCTACGTTGAAAACTTCATTTAATTCCAAAGGCACATAAACCACATCAAGTGAGTCAGCATTTTCAAGATCTCAGTCTTCTTATAACAAAGCCATTAACTCTAGTAATCAGTGCCCTCTTCATTTTATATTTCAGGAATTTACAAAAATAAACAAAAAAAATGCACTACTATATACACGCATTCACATATGATAATAGTTTAGCTCACCTCATTTTAATTTATAAGGAATACAAAACAAATAAACACAAGGAAACTTTCAAATCAAGTAAAAAAAACAAATATAATGTTTACAGTACACAGCAATTATATAAATAAAGTGTACTGACGAGATCGAATGTTAAAATTTCAGATTGTTTAGTCTAATGAAAAAAAATTAAAAAAAAGTATTTTGCAAAGTTTTGTTTTTTGAAGTACTGTATAATAGGCACTCTATAATGATAATGAAATTTTACTTTATTTTTAGTAGACAACTATAATATACCTGTCAAAACACACATGATAATTTAATAATTATATCGGTCTTAGATTTAATTTTTACGTAATTACGTAAATAAATAATTAAAATATTATTTTTGTACGCCTCTGCAAAGTTGATAAATGGAATATGATTTCGTCGTTTTAAGTGTGATGTTGCCAATTAATCACCTTCAATTAAAAATTGTTTTATGACATGGAAATTTTAGTGCCATGATTAATGAACCAATAAAAAATGTGCAAAGTAGATAAAACATCCTATATCTCGGTTATAAGTATGGTATTTCCTTCGAATTATTGTGGTTTTTGTTGGGTATATTTAATTGTTATGGTTTATTGACTATTCATGCTTCTCATAAGTTAATAATTTACCAAAATGATTATAATAGCTGATATTTCTTTATTGATTTTTGCCGCTTATCCATTGCACTTATTATCTCGGTATTTATCTACTCTTGATGATTAAAATTGCTGTTATTACCGCTTCTCCTTCCAGGACCGGAATGAGTTCAATCATCGACAGTATATTTTTATGCCCTTAATAACTAATGAATTCTTACTAAATACGTTGTACAAAAAGAGTGTACATATGTGGGAAATTATTAGTATAATTTCCGTGTATGTGGACTGTATTATACAGGGTGGTGAATCGTCAAACGGGCCATAGGAAACTCAATGGGAAATTCTAAATTGTTGAATTCCTGCTTCCCTAATTATTTTACACCAAAAGTCATGGGAAACTATTTGTAGAGGACTCAAATATGTATCGAAAAACAACTGTTAAAATTATTCTACGACTTAAACGTATTCCAAAATTTTGGTAAAATATAATACATTTTTCTGTGAAAAAATATGTATTAGGTGTTGCGTTTTGTCATATTATTGTTTCTGATATTTGATAATATTTAAATCAATTATATTACATTTATCTATTATTTAAATGGCGAAAATTTTGTGATTTATTGTTAAAAAAAATTAAGTTGATTAAAAAATGTACTCAGTTGAGGAGAAAAAAGCAATAATAAAAATGTTTTATTCATATTATACCATTTGTTATAGTTTTATGTTTAGAAATTATCATATATTATTATTAGGAATAAAGATCACACTAACAGTTTATTGGAATTCATTGAATTGTTGTATAACTTAACATGGAATTAAATTTTATTGAATTAGAATATCTTACGTTAAATAAAGATCCGGTAGTGACAGGAAAAGGTTCGCGCTATTGCCTGAATACAACATTATGCGATTTTTCGTCAACTGAGTACAATTCATTATATTGATCGATTTGTAAACCATATAATTTATTGTTCACAAAGTAATAATGTTCATTAGTAGTAGTATTTAGTAAAATTCATTGTTTATAATTTTAATCATAAACTAAAAAAATTGACAAGTCAAATTGTCTAACATCTGACATTAATATGATAAAACACAAACGTCCTAATATATATTCTTGCATTACGTGTGGCCTAACTTTTAGGGGTGGCCTGAAAAATGTGTTATATTTTTGCAAAATTTTGAAGTACTTTTGATTCGTAGAACGGTTTTAACGTTTGTTTTTAATTCAGATTTTAGTCCTCTACAAATAGTTTTTTATGACTTTTGATCTAAAATAATTAGGGAAGCAGCAATTCAACAATTTAAAATTTCTCATTGAGTTTCCTATGGACCGTTTGACGATTCACCACCCGGTATAGGGCTGGTTCAATAAAATTAGGATAAGTAATAAAAGGTATACAGACAATAGCAAATTAAGTTTATAGAAAGTCTTACCAATATTTTTTCTGCTCCACACTCTCACGGTTGTTTCCGGTCTTCGCTCGTGGTTATTCTTCACCCGCGAAATCTGTCCGATGCACCGGTTTCTGAACACGTGTTTCGCAAATATATCACGATATAGAGCACAGTTTGTCTGCACACGATTTAATACAGTATTTTCGATATTTCTCGCGTAACTAAAGCGGGAAAGAGGTAACTACGATAGAAAAACAGCCAAGAAAGATGCTGTTCTTTTTGATAAGCGAAGAGAGAGAGAGAGAGATATCAAGAGAGAGAACGTCTGGCTCTAGTGATGGCCAAACTAAGAGAGTTGAGAATGGTCTGTCCTTAGCGACGGGCGACCATCAAGAGAGTGTTTTTCTTCTTTGCTATCTTGAAACTGTCTGTATTTCTTAAGAGAGGGGGTTAAACTGTAAATAGGAAGGGTTATTAAGGGTTGGATTAGGATAAGGATTGTAAAATTGTGAAATAAGGATAGTTAATAATACAGCGAAAAATGACATGATTTTTCGCATGTGAGAAAATTGAACATACGTACTAATGCAGAAATAAATAGAAATTGTAAACCTCAAAACATGTTTTGATATTAAAGTTGATGTTATTTTAGTGAACATTTTTAAGATTGAACTTTGATGATATCCCATCTTCTTATAAAGAAGACCTGGGAAATATTGCTAACAATATTTTCCAGGTAAAATTTTTGTACTTTTATATGTAAACATCGTACTTAAATAAAAGAAATATTTTTTATATATCTTTATTTTAACCAAATTTTTATTTTTTAGAAAGATCAAAAGTCCCATCTGACGCAGCTTACAAAAGTGAGTATGAAAACGAACAAAATTTTATCCAGTTTTTTTATTATATTGATATATATTCTTTTTTCTTAATATTTTTGTGTGAGAAATTTTGGACCAAGTATCTATGTAACAGTACCTACGAAAAAATATGTTATTTTGATTATAATACTGTGTGTTAGTTTAATTAGAAATAAAGAAGACAAAGAATAAATTACTAAACCATATATTGAGTATGGGTTAGGTTTAACATATTCATTGTCAACTTGGACAGGAGAGTTATACCTGTGAGCCATTTCTATTTCTTTATTGCAGCTGTCAGTTTTTTCATAATCGCCTTTCAGAGTTGTTTTTAACAATTTATATACAGAAAAAAAGAAACGAAAATATTATTCTAATATATGAAACTACCTGCTATATACTGGTATAGGTTTGCATGAAATATACGGAAACATTGAGTTAGACACAGTCCGGGTTCGAGACCTTCAGGACATTGGGAGCAATAGTAAACAAAATCTTTGTTGATTTTACCATTAATCCAACATACCTGAAATCGTCTCCTTTTCGCCATTCCATTTTCACCTTTGGAGCCATATTCTAGCAGATGGTATACTTTAAATCTTGGGGTGGGTTCTGCAGGTGGTGGCCAAGTAATTTTTCAATGACCTCAAGCCGAAAATCGTTGTAATTTAATTTGTTTGAACTATTGCCGTTATATAGACACCATGAATTTAAGAGCATGAGTTGACACATATGGATAGTAACTTTCTTATACTATATACGAGTTGTATGCTCGCAATTGTACATAGTAAGATAACATTTTATCAGTATGGTCTACCCCCGACATAAAATCTTTATACTTATTTATGAGTTATGGTTTCTGCTTCACCTGACCTCGTTTATTCGTAGTTTCTTGCAATTCTCAATTAAATTCACTGGATATGGTTAACACATATGCCTCGAGAATTATACTGGTTGACCTCTTCACCTTTTTCAATTTTTTTGCTAAAACTTCAGGTGATTTCTTTTTCGATTAACCTTTAGTGTGCCCGTAGCATATTTTTGGTTATTCAATAAAATCTCAGTGAGATTGACACTATTATAGAAGTTGTCCATGTAGATCGCATGACCAGCACCAAGTTTTTTTTGTAATAAACATAGAACCACCTTTTCAGTATGTTTTGAACCTACTAACTGTACATCAGCTGAACTTGAGTAGTTTTAATGAACCAAAAGTTTTAATACCAGCCTGTTTGGCTCACGTAGTGAGTACAGCTTTACACCAAACTTGTGTCGTTTTTCCTTGATGTATTGCAGAAATTTTAAACGACCTCTCCACAGGATCATCAGAGTTCTTTATTGGGGTAATAAACTGCATTCATTTTATTATTGAAAAAATCAATCAGAGGCTTAATTTTTTTTATTTTTGTTCGAGTGACTTGATTTTGGCAATTTTCGAATTGCAAAGCTCTTAAAATGCAGTTTTATAAAGGCTCATAAAGCTTGAACATGCAGTCAGATTAAAGAGATAGTGCTTCTTCCAATAATCGTTAAGTCGATTTACTCGAATTTTTCTCATATGCAACAGCAAACTGAAAAGCTTCTTTAATTCGTCAACAGTTATATATATGAACTTTGATGGTACACAAGGCAAATATCGAACACAGTATTTAATCAAATCTTGCCCAAGTACTTTCGATCACAAGATCATCTTCAGGGGCATTTCGTCAGTTGTGGCCTATCCAGCAGTAACAGAATGTCATAAATGTAAATTGGGACATAACAAATACACTAAACAAAGACAAACAAACACTTTAAAATTTAAAAATTCTGTCTTCATTCTGTCTTCAATGTTATTCTGCCCTTCATCTTCAAAAGTTACTTTCACATATTTCATAATAATGTATTGTTCAATTTCGTAGTGTACTTTTTTTTATTTTCAGGAAAAAATTTAGTTTCGCTAGTTCTCCCAGTTAAAGGACAAAAAGACAGATTTGTTGTTGGTCTTGATCGAGAGCTCCTTGCAGTTACGTGGGATGGAGTAAGTGACAAAGTAACTAACGTAGAAAAAATTGTCGAAGTTCAAACTGAAAAAGAACTAGTTAATAACAGATTTAACGATGGTAAATGCGATCCTTCTGGAAGAATTTGGGCAGGTAAGACAGTAGTCTAGTTAATTAAGTGATATTGGAATGTCCGTAGTAGGGCTTTTGTGCTACGGACTTGAGATATTATTTTAAGTGCCATATCGATATTTTACTTCTATTTTTAAATCATATTAAAATAATAGGAACAACATATTGTGATGTTCTTTTTTATTTACAGTCTTGTAACACTTATTGTATTTTATTTTTATTCTTCTAACATTAACACTTAAAACACAATTAATTTATAACATTTATTACTTAGTAGTGCAGATTTATTTTATCGAGCAACTCATACAATTTAATTGATCTATATACGAGTATATACGCGCTTCAGCCATTCTTGAACTTTATCCGCACCAATGAACACCTTGGAAGTATCTCGAAGCCTAGCTTCTTCGAACATACTACGCGTAGGCTAGGCAGCAAGTGATTCTAGTCAGATTATCGTTATATATTTTTCTTATTTGACCAGAATGGTTTTTGATTCCTCGGAACGGCCTGATGTGAAATACTGTCTGCAACCTCTGGTTATGTATCTTTGGTCTCTTATTACTTGGTCTTTTTTATATTGAATCTTCTAAGAAAGGGAATTTTAGTTATTCATATTGCTGTATTATTATGAATTTTTGGGAATGATTCATAGAATTTTTTGATATAGCAGTCCTGGATGTTGGAGCTTACGAAGAAGTAGTCTGGATTGTAGCTTCAATTTTGAGTCATGCAATAGTGCTAAGTTATTGGCTTTTGTCCAATAATCCAATGCTCTAACTCATTCATTCATTGAATTTTTCGTTCATTATTGTCCATTTCATTCTATTTCCATGAATACTGTGGTTACTGAAATTCACCACCACGAACTGGGTTTTCTGGTTTTTGAAATTACCAGTGTGCGTGAAACCAAATGCTTTCTCTGACTGTTTGTAGGTCAACTTTACAATGATATCGCAGCTCTCGATTCGAATCGACATTTGGAAAAAATTAAGATATTTTTTAAGCTGATTATATTAAAAATTTTCTATTAAAAAAACACAAAAAGGCTGTACACTGGACTCCACAAAAAATACATTAAAATAATATTTGGTTATGGTACGAGTGTCAGAACTCGAACATTTGTTGGAGTTGAAACAGCAGATAGAATGAATGAAATCGAATACCAGCCTTTTAAATGGTTCTTGTTGCGTATTTAAATTTTTCATTTATTTTCATGTTTTTTTTTTTATTTTCAATACACAGTTAATCCATTGCAAAGAGGACTTAGGTTAGTAAGAGAGTTTTTGTTTTCATATAATATATAACTATATAACTTTATTGATATTTGATATACATATTAATTTAATAGCTATATCATATCTGTTCTTTCTTGTTTCTCACCTTTATGAAAAACCCCTTCCATAATCTACCAAGCCTGAGCAATGGAGCCCTCGAGGTTATTCTGTACGGTGCTCTAAAATTAATTCTTCATAATCTATTTCACTAAGTATATAACAATATTGCAATGAATTGTTAAATGAATATAATCTATTTACTGAAGTAATTAGAGTATATTCATAATCTAAGTAAATTACAATTTACACTAAATGGATTTTTAGGTACTATGGGAGAAGAACCAACCAATGGAAATGTTGCGCCTGGAAGAGGTTCCCTATTTTCAGTTCAAAATGGTAAAGCAGTTAAACACTTAGGAGAATTAGGAATTTCGAATGGATTGGCATGGAATGAGCAGCAAAAAAAGATGTATTATATTGATTCGTTCAAAAGATGTGTAGAACGATATGATTTTGACATTCAAAAAGGAACAATTTGTAAGCATTTATAATATATAAATTTATATTTAATTTTAATTTTGTGAACTGTTTTTCATCACGTATTCATCAAACACATCGCTTAGACTAATTTTAGTTGTAACCAATGGAAAAAGTATCTATTAAATTCATGACATAAACATGTTTTAATTTTAGCCAATGGGAAATCTATATTCAGTCTCGAAAAAAATAACATAGAAGGATTTCCTGATGGTATGACTATAGACGTTGATGGTAATCTATGGGTAGCTATTTTTGGTGGATATAAAGTGATCAAAATTGATCCAAGAGTACCTGAAACTCTTTTAGCCACAATTCCTATTCCTGCAAAACAGGTAAGACAATAAACATGTAGAAAAAATAAATATATTCAGATCAGCTACTTTTCCGTAAGAGAAAAGTGCGAAAAGAAGGCTCAAACCAAACCAAAACGTACCGAGTACTATGGCAATTATACGAGTCTTACGAGGCAATCTTACGAGTCTCTCTAATGACGGGTAGACCCAGTCAAATTAAGGCTGTTTTATCGGTACACCTAAACCTAGAGATAGTGTTTTCTCTGTTATTTACCGACAAAATGTCTGGAAATTTGGACACGGTATTTAAAATTATATTGCCTTTAAACTGATGGTTTTACATTTTTAATTTTTTTGAAAGTTCTTTTGAAATATTGGATTATGCAGTTTAACGTTCTATTATAACCAAACTTTTTACGCCTATCACTTGAAAGAATTTTTTTTCTGTAATAGTTGATTTTTTTCACCTTTCTGTGTCCAGTAATAATCAAAAAAAGCGTGTTCAAACTTTGAAGAAAATTACTAAAAAATATTGAAATCTAATAGTGAAACGTGTTACTCATCGTTGGCACTTAGTTTCACCGTTATCGGCTTCGTGGCGTCAAATCTCATGAACGTACGGTCAGATAGTTCGATTTGAAATCCTTTTCAAGCTATAACTGCGAAATTGTTTATTTGTTTGTGACAACAAATTGTATTTTTTTTTGATAATAATATTTTTATGTTATTTTAATTTTATTATAAATAAAAACCATGATGTTTTTTTCTACGTATATTTATAGAAAAAAGAATATTTATCAATGGTGGCATGACTTTTTTTCTTTTAGGTGACTTCTGTAACATTTGGAGGACCTAACCTTGATGAACTATATGTAACATCAGCGAAATTTACCATTAATGGGGAAGTGCTTCCTCCTCCAGAACATGGAGGAACCTATAAAGTTACAGGATTGAACACCAAGGGTTCTCCAGGAGTAGCTGCTGCATTGTAGAAATATGTTATCTCAGTTAATAATATTGTGTACAGATACTGTCCTTTTTACATAAACAAACATACTGAATTAAGAATAAATACACTCTTTTTAAATATATGTCGTTTATTTGCGTTCATGAAGTAATTAATTTAAAAACAATAGGTAAAGAAATAATAAATAAGACTTACTCACAATCAATTTAATTTAACTATCAGACGACCGGTTTCGCTTTCTACAATATGCAAAGCATCTTCAGGTCTCGATACAAAGTTAAATAAATGCTGAAATGATAAAAACCCATATTAGGGTGTTGTCTAATAAAGATAAACAAATTAGATGTTGTAAATTACAATAATTATGCCAATATTACATGTCTGTGGTTTTATTTCAAAATGAGTAAGTTGAATAAAAAGGTATAAAAAGTTTTAAAAGTTTAAACAGGTCTAAGGAGGTTAGGTCTGGGGATCAAAGAAGGAAACGGAATATCTCCAGTAATCGAAATAACCGTGCCAGGAAACAGTTCTGTAACTGCGTTGGTCGACACTGCTGCAGTATGTGTCGTGGCACCATCTTGTTGAAAACACGTTCGGTTGACATCATAGCCAGGGAACTGTAACAAGGATTGGCGTAAAAAATTAAGAATCGTGGTGGAGTAGCTAGCGCTGTTCACAGTAACCGTACGTCCTGCACCTTCATTCCAAAAATTATTCAACATTGTCTTAGCAAAAGTTTTTAGTTTTAAATGGTTGTTCGGCTTCAAAAACTGACAAAGCTGAATTTTATATGGATGAAAGTTTAAGTCCTTTCGCAATATTCGTTGAACACTAACGGGTGTCAATTGCAATTATTGCGCATGTTTACGAACCGACCGCCTGGGATGTCGATTTACAGCGCTCCGTACCCTGTCAATGTGTCAATATTGTCTTGCGTTGTCGTGGTTCTGGGTCTACCAGCTGGTGTGTGATTTATGATAGAAGGTGTTGGTCGGAATCTTTCACTCAATTGTTCACCAAAGCTGCCGACGGTGCATCGGCTAAACGTCTGATATTGGAATGTACACAAAAACGTCGAGGCACCACGGTATAAGAATTCAAGCATAAACGCCCGTTGCTCTGCTGAGCACGGTGCCATCGGAACTTGATCGTAACTGAAATTTGTATCATTGCGCATGCGCACGGCGCAACCTATTTAGGTGTTATCTACACTCTACAGTTCTACACCGTCAGCTTCCTCCTAATCAGCGCAGGGCCGGCGCCAGAATAATTTCAAATCAAATCCATTATGAGACACCCAGTATTAAACATTATATGTAGATCCGTTCGTCAATTTTCGCTATAATTAAAAAATGGATTGCCAAATTTAAGTGTGGTTATTTTTTTTTAATATTACCAAGATATTAGTGAAAGCCAATTTGGTTTCATAAATGGTATGAGCAACAAGATATGCTTTATTCGCAATGCGAATATTGATTCAAAAAAGTCTGGATCAGCAGATAAATGTTTTCTCATGTTTTATAGATTATGAGAAGGCATTCGTTAATATAAAGCACGTTTCTTCATAATTTGTTTTGAATCCAGATTTTTTTTTGATAATAAATTTCATTAAAGGTAGCAATTAATTTATTTAATGAAGCTTTCTTTTCATGTTTAATTTTTGGGACCATTCTTTTATCAAATAAAATTTGATAATTTTCAAGAAGATTAACAAACAATATTTGTTCATTTTTGTCCTCGCCTAATTCTTTTGCTGTTTCGAAATCTGAACCACTCATTTTTTACTAACTACTCATTTATTCTAATAATAATTATTCACAAAACACAAGCATATGAAAAACTAGTTCTGATACAATTGGTGTGATGCGCACAAGGGCACTACGGCTGGCGCTACGTTTAGTAGTAGATACTTCAGGTCAGTAGCAACTACTTCGCTTGTGTAGTACGGTCTTTTCAACAAAGCACCTCCTTTTATGTAAAAGAAAATGCTACAAACTAGATACTATTGACTGAAGCAATAGCAGCTAGTACATTTTATGCATTCCACCCAATATCTCGTATATTTGTCCATAGTTGGGTAATGTCTTCTTCTTGTTCTTCTAAGTTTTCTATCTTTATTTTATCTTCTATTTGTTGTCTGTATATAATTGCAATTTTGGGATCTTTTAGTTTATTAATGTCAATTTTTTCTCTCCTTTCTTCTTTTTAAAATTGGATATTCTCTCTTTAAATCGTGCTTTAACTAAATAGTGATCACTATCTATGTTTGCTCCTCTAAAAGATCTAAAATCTAATAAGTTAGAGCAGTGTCGATGTAAAGATAATTATATGATCTATTTGGTCAATCATTTTATTATCAGAAGATTTCCAAGTTCCTTATGTATATCTTTATGGGTAAATCTTCTCCCAGCTATTACCATGTTCTAAGACATCGCAAAGTTTATGATTCTGAGACCGTTATCATTAGAGTCTACGTGCAGGCTCTCTTTTCCGATGGTGAGCGAAAATATATTCTCTCTTCCGACTTTGGCATTAAAGTCTCCTGCTATTATTTTGATGTCATTTTTTGGGCACTCATACATTGGGGCGTACTCTCGGTCTAGTGCCTCATAGAATATGTCATTTTCAGTTTCATTCTTTGTCAACCATTTTCCATCCACTCCTGAATGTAGGTCTCTCCCAATTGCTTCCATCTTTCTCTATCTTGCGCCAATCTAATCCACTGTTTGTCTGCCACTGCTCTTATGTCATCTACCCATCTTTTTTAAGGTTTTCCCATGCTTCTTGTTGTCGTCCTTGGTCTCCATTCTAGAATTCTCCGTGTCCACCTGTTGTCATTATATCGGGCTACGTGACCTGCCCAGCGCCATTTCATTTTTGTAATTTCTTCCACAATATATCTAATCTTCGTTCTACGTCTTATCTCGGTGTTTCTAATCTTGTCTCTTATTGATATTCCAAGCATAATTCGTTCCATTGATCTTTGCGTTGTTTCTAATTTTTTGGCAGATTTTTTGGCAGATTTTTTGGTAAGTGCTACTGTCTCCAAGCCGTAGGTACAAACAGGTAGTATGCATGTGTTATACACCTTTTTCTTTAAGTTTATAGGAATTGAGGTGTTTTTCAAGATATGTGCTAGTTTGCCGAAAGCGCCCCAAGCCAGTTGTGTTCTTCTTTTAATTTCAGCATCTTGATTTGGTTTTCCTAGTTTGATAACATGACCTAGAAATACATAATGTTCCACATTTTCTATGGTATGATTTTGTATTGTTATATTTGTCTGGTCTCGGCTCAGTATTTTTGTTTTGCTGTAATTCATTTTTAAGCCTACCGCTCCTGAAACTGCATTTAATTGTTGTAACATATCATTTAGTTCTTGGATATTATCGGCTATTAAAACTATGTCATCTGCGAATCTCAAGTGGTTTAAGTATGATCCGTCGACGTTGATACCCTTATTGTTTCATTCCAGTTTCTTAAAAATATCTTCTAGAGCAAGGGTAAATAGTTTGGGAGAGATGGTGTCTCCTTGTCTTACTCCCCGTTGTAGACTTATGGGATTAGTTTTTGTGCTTTCGTCCAGCTTTATATGCATGGTGGCATTTTCATATATGTTTTTAATTATGTTAATGTATCTTGAATCTATGCGTGCATTTTCTAGAGATTCAAGCACTGCCCATAATTCGATGGAATCGAATGCTTTATGGAAATCGACGAACGCCATATGAATTGGAACATTATAGTCGGTGCATTTTTCTATCAGTGTTCTTACGGTGCGCAAGTGGTCTATGGTATTAAAATGTTTTCTGAATCCAGCCTGCTCGATAGGTTGATAGAAATCGAGCTTATGTGTTAGGCGGTTGGTTATGACTTTAGTTAGTAATTTATACAGATGTGATAGCAAGGATATTGGTCGGTAATTCTCGATGTTTGCTCTGTTTCCTTTCTTGAATAGTAAAATGACCTCGGAGTTGTACCATTCTTGAGGAATCTTTCCTTAATCAATTACTTTATTAAATAAAACATTTAATACCTGTTCCATTTTTCTGCCACCAATTTTCAACATTTCAACTGTAATCTTATCCTCTCCCGGACATTTATTCGTTTTAAGTTGATTTAGAGCCATTCTAATTTCATAGTCGGTTATGTCCGGTATTTCTTCTGAGCCGGTGTTAATTATTGTTCATTAAGTACGTCGTTGTTGTGGTTGTGTATTTACCGAGTATAGTTTAGTGTAGAATTTTTCAATGGCCTCGCTTATTTCCTTTCTGTCTCTGACGGTGACGTTTTTCTCATTTTATGATTTTTGTTGTGCCGCTTGAGTTTCTGGCTTTGAGTACTTTCATGTTGCAATTATCTTGTATTATATTTTTTATTAGATTGTTATTATAGTTTCTATGATCGTTCCTGATTTCTTTCTTCACATTTTTGTTTAAACTTTTAAAGCTGTTCGAAGTTTGATCTCGTCCTGTTCTGTTTCGTCTTTCTTGGAGTAGTTTAATTGTTGGAGTTTAGATGTTTTGGCTGTTTTCGTGTTTGAGCATATTTTCTTAACCGATGTTGTTACAGATACTTTTATTTTAGTGGCTAGTCCGTTTATATCCATTTGTTTCAGTGTCTCTATTGATTTTAGTCTTGTGCTTAGGTCTTTTTGGTATTCCGTTTGTTTTTGAAACAGGACATCGGTGGTGTGAAAGAGGACATCAGTTTCATTAGAAAATTTATATTTGACTTGATGATTGATACTAATAAAAGATATACGTAAATAATGCAACAGTTTAAACCACGCAAGCCCACGAAACACTTAAGATTCAATATCAACCTGCCAATAAAAACTAACTGAGATGTGATTATGCGTCAGTTGAGTTTAATTATTAGTGAGTGTTTTTACGACAGAGAATTGGTAAAATTTTAGAACATATTATCATAATTATATGTGTTAATTTAATTTATAATTAGCTATCGAATTTAAGGGTCCTATATGAAGTGTATGACAATTATTTTTGATATAGTGTAATAGTTTAGAGGTACATACCTACTACACTAATATAAAGATATATTTTTTTTAGTGCTGCCTTTGTAGCAATCAAAGTTACATAATTTGCATAATAACCAAATTTTCTGAATTGAGAGATAGTTGCGTCTTCCTCTAGTGACATGATGAATTACTTCTCCAAAAAAAAGTTTTTTTTGGTCTTCCCCAGATCTGTGGGTCAATGTTTTTTCAGTATTCTATTTTATTATACAGCGCATCGATGCCTTTCGACAACATCATGCATTCGACTGCTAACAAACGCTGTCATCATAAATCAGCCAATCGCGTCCACTGCTGGGCATAGGCCTCCCTCAGTTCTTTCCAGTGTTCTCTACACTGGGCCGCTTGTAGCCAGTTTCCCGCTACACGTTTTATATCATCGGTCCATCTAGTCGGTGGTCGTCCTCGGCTTCTTTTATAGTTTCTGGGCCTCCGTTCCATAATACGTCTTGTCCACCGTCCATCTTGTGCTCTGGCTAAGTGCCCTGCCCAGTTCCACTTAAGCGACGTGGTTCTTTCGATGACGTCTTGAACTCCTGATCTTTGCCTAATTTGTTGGTTTATTATGTGGTCTCGAAGGCTCACGTTCAACATTGCACGTTTCATGGCTCGTTGTGTAACTCTGAGTTTATTCGCAGATTTTTGCGTCAGTGTTAAAGTCTCTGCTCCATAAGTTTGTACGGGTATAAACCTTTCGCTTGAGACACATGGGAATTGAACTTTTTAGAATATGGCTTAATTTGCCAAATGCTGCCCAAGTTAGGCCTATTCGCCTCTGAATTTCATGTGTTTGATTGTCCCTGCTTATTTTGATTTCGTGTCCCAGATATTTGTAAGTGTCTGTTTGTTGTATGGTATTATTGTCAATAGTTATATTTCCACTCATTACGAGATTTGTTATAAGTTTAGTTTTCTCAAAGTTTATCTTTAATCCTGCTCTTTCAGACAGACTTTTAAACGAATGCATTATAGAAACTGTATTTTGTAAATTATCTGCGATTAATACAACATCATCTGCACATCTTAGGTGATTTAATCTTTCGCCATCTATATTGATGCCCATATCTTGCCATTGAGTGCTCTTAAATATTGACTCTAGAGCTGCCGTGAACAATTTTGGTGAAATATTGTCTCCTTGTCTAACTCCTCGACCTAAGCTGAATTTGTCTGTGTCTTCGTGTAGTCGTAATCTATTCGGCTTTGATTTAGGGCTTCCAGTATTGTTTGAAACTCTACAGAATCAAAAGCCTTCTCGTAATCGACAAATGCAAGAACCAGTGGTATGTTGTACTCGATGCACTTTTCTATTTAGATCTTTTAAGAACAAACGCTGTACGGTTTTTATATTGATTAAAATATTTATGTTGATTAACGGCAACATGATGCATTTAAGTGGTAAATTTTTTCTGATATTTCATATTGGACATTTATGTTTATGATATTGATTCTGTTGTATGGAGTAAATTGCGTCATTTATCTGCTATTATACGTTATTTTTATATATTTGGAAATATCAAACCAAACATCAAAAATAACAGACAAATACAACTCTTTTTAATAGAATACTAGACGGAGCAATTAAGTAAACAGGAATTAACAAACCAATTAAGCGGATTTTAGGATATTTATACAATCTGCTATTAGCAACAAGTACGAAAAACTTTAGAATAAGTACTTAACATGCTTACAGCAAGTAAAAATTATATGACAAAACTAGATGAATTAGAGGGAGATATTTTAGAGAAAAATTACCAATACATATTCCGAAAAGTAAAAAGATTTAAATAACTAGGAGTAGCAATCGAGCTCAAATAACCGAATCAGCTGCCAAGATACTGGCATTTTTACGCTTCAGTTCGATTCTCGGTACCAACAACGCCATACTCAATTTTAAAAATATCTAACGAGCCGTCACCGTGCTTTGGAGAGCACGTAGAGCCGTCGTCGGTCCCCCTGAATTAGCGTGCATCGACATATATTCAATAAACATTTGGTTATTTTTTATTCCTTCATTTTTTGACATGTTATTTCATTCTGTACATTATTTTAGATATTACTTCCAGTTTGTACCGTTTTATTAAGTTTTATTTTTCTTTACAAAGAGTTATGTATTTGATTTATTTACCTTTTCTCCTAATATAACTTTATAACCATTTTTATATTTGGAATATGTTTTTGATAAAACCGATAAATTTCAGAAATCCTACAATGCCGAGCCCTGGTTTTGTGCCTATTTTAACTATACTCACTATACTTAATACTCCAACGTTGATAATTCACAACGTGAATCCCACAGTCGAGAGACTGGAAGAAATTTCAACGACAGAATTGGGAGAAGGACCCCACTGGGATGTAGAAACTCAAAGTTTATATTTTGTGGATCTGTTTGGACAGGCGATTCATAGATACGTTCCTGCTACTAGGCAACATACTAAAGCCGTTTTAGGTAAAATTATACATATATATATACATATATATATATATATATATATATATATATATATATATATATATATATAATATTAATTCTTGTGATAGTATTAATCTTAGCTTCAGGTTTAATTATACTCAATCTTGTTAATGCCCTTGTTAGAAAATAGAAAAAAAGAGAATAATAGTAATAATAATAATAATAATAATAACCTGTGGGAGTTTTTATCAGTTCTTCTATCAGGCGCGGCCCCCTGCGAATGGGGGATGCTTTCTGGGTATCCGTAGCGCAGATACCCAGAGGGTAACAGGAATACCTGTCGTGGAACAAAAACTGACACCTGGCAGTAGGTATAAAATGCACACCCATGATAATGGAGTTTATTAATTTATGTTTAGGGTCGCTGCCTGGGGATCGCCAGGGCACGTCTGGAGCCGGCGCTGGACGTGACAGCATGCGGGACGTCGGTGGCAGGGTGTTGAGGAGGCGGGCCCCTGTCATACAATCAGCTACAGCCCAACAACAACAACCACAAGTGAGCCAAACAACAACAAGAGCTCCACTCGCTGAAGGTGCTGCGCTGGAACATCAGCCGGCGCTCACTCAAGCGGGACGACCGAGGCAGCGTATGAAGTGGACAGTGTCCATAAACGAAAATATTTTGCGCTTTTATTACAAGGTGACAAACCTCGGTCAAGAAACAATCGGCTATCGACAACAACTGTATGCCGAATTTTGCAGGGAGTACCCAGAAATCCAAGTATCTGAACAAAGAGTAGCAGATCAATACCGGGTAATTTTAAGAAACAATCTTATTCCAGAGAATAGACGCGACACCATCAGACGCGAAGTCGAACGGGAGATTCATAACCAAGAGCTAGTTGTGAATCAAGACCATAATGAAGTCCCAAATGAGCAGATTCCTGAGATTCTCATACAAGAAACTCAACCTAATAATACACAGCAGGACAATAACGAGTTGCACGATAGTCTGGCAAACGAAATGGCGCGCGCCGTACAAGAGTTTAGTGGAACAAACCCACTTAGCAGACCACCGCTACCAAAAATAAACTCTTCCAAGAAACTAGGAGCGCTGTTACAAATTGTGAACACTGAAGTCCTACCCAATTATATCACAGAAGCCCACACATTGGAATATTTGCATATGCTGATTTACTGTGCAGCAACAGCAATTGCTAATGTTATGGGCATTAAGATCAGAACACGACGGGGTACCAACATCGGAAGGACTGGTAACAGAATAGCACCCTGGGAAAAACGACTGCTGAATAAGATCGAATTACTGCGTAGGGACATTGGACAAATAACAGAGTACATAAGAGGAGTGAGAAGTAGAAAAATCATCAAAAGAGCTGAAGAAATACAGTTTAACACTCTAAGACACTCACGATATGATCCAGAAAACAACACACCTCAACAATGCCTGGACACATTAAAACAAAAACTATCTGTTTACTCAGGCCGCCTGAGGAGATACAAAGTTAGTAACAACCGGAAATGCGACAATATACTTTTTGAGCAAGCAGAGAAAACTTTCTATAGGAAACTTAATTCCACTGTAGAAAACGCAAATAAATCCTACCCAAGCCAAGAAGAAATTCATGAGTTTTGGGGAAACCAACTTTCGACGCCAGCTACCCATAACAACAATGCTGGATGGATTGAAGACACCACGAACAAATGTCAACACTACAGGAATATTCCTTATGAACCTTTCACCACTGAAGAAGTCTCGAACATTATCAAAGAGCTTCATAACTGGAAATCTCCTGGACCAGACGGAGTTCAAAACTTCTGGCTAAAGAAGTTTTGGAGTGTTCATGAGCTTTTAACAGTATTTATTAATAATATTATTTCTAATTCACAGGAAATACCATCATTCCTTACTCAGGGAACCACTTATCTAATACCGAAGGATCAAAATAACACCCAAGATCCAGCCAAGTACCGCCCAATTACTTGTCTTCCAACTTTGTACAAATTGGTCACATCCTGTGTGGCCCGGCGTATCTACCAACACTGTGCTCTGAACAATATCATAGAGCCCCAACAGAAAGGATGCGCTAAGGGCTCCATGGGATGCAAAGAACAACTTATTATCGACTCAGTCATTTCTAACCAGGCATACACCAAAAAAAGAAACCTTTTTACTGCCTTCATTGACTACAAGAAGGCTTTTGATTCAGTGCCGCATGAATGGCTTATAGATATATTAAAAATATATAAAGTCGATGATAATCTCGTGACCTTTTTGAAGCATATAATGGCAGAGTGGAAGACTAAAATTCACCTTCAAATACCTGGTGAAATTAATATCGAAACTGAAGATATCCCTATTAACCGGGGCCTTTTCCAAGGGGACTCGTTGAGTCCACTTTGGTTCTGCCTAGCGATGAACCCACTATCTCAGCTGCTGAACTCTACTGACTCAGGATTTAGCATCAAAAATAACAACACCGTTGTAGCGAAGCTTAATCATCTGTTGTATATGGATGATTTAAAATTAATGGCTTCCACCCGAAACCACCTAGATGAGATGCTAAAAACTGTAGAAAATTTCTCAAATGACATCAGTATGCATTTTGGACTAGACAAGTGCCGTATACTAAATATAGTCAGAGGAAAGGTTCAGCCTGGAGGTTTCGATATGCAAGATGGCCAAAACATCGAGGCAATGGGTGAAAATGATATGTACAAATATCTCGGAGTAAAACAAGCACGTAAAATTGACCATAAACAAATGAAAACGGAACTAACTTCGGAGTTCGTGCGAAGGGTAAGACAACTAAATCGGTCATATCTTAATAGTAAAAATTTGTTTAAGGCATTAAATACGTACGCCTGTTCCGCGCTGAGCTACTCATTTGGTATTATAAAGTGGTCAAAAACGGATATAGAGGGTCTTCAGCGGAAAGTAAGAACACTTCTCACAAAGGCGCAAAAACATCATCCACGTAGTGCAGTAGAGAGAACAACATTACCGCGGTATCAAGGGGAAGAGGACTTATGGATATAGGTGAGCAATTAGATAAACAAATTGCTAATTTAAGATCTTATTTTCAGGTACAGGCTGAGACATCTACTTTACATCGAGCAATTTGCGCAGTAGATGATACGACGCCGCTTAAACTGAGGGAACAAGAAATGCGCATAAACCACCTGACCCAGCAAGAAAAAATGCGCACCTGGATGAGTAAACCTCTGCATGGGCGACATCTCAATGAGATCAACCAAGAATATGTAGACAATACAGCGTCGAACTATTGGTTGACATCAGGAAAGATGTTTCCCGAGACTGAGGGCTTCCTACTTGCCATTCAGGATCAGGTTATTCCAACTAAAAATTACCTGAAATATATTGTTAAAGATCCTCAAGTACAAAATGACAAATGCCGATATGGATGCCAAGCCCAAGAAACCATCCAACATCTTACCGGTGGCTGCCAGGCATTTGTCGGTACTGATTATAAAGAACGCCATGACTCAGTAGGAAAGATTATCCACCAAGAACTAGCTGACAAACTGGGACTTCTCCATACCGACCATCTTCCTTATTATCAATACGCTCCTGATAGAATGCTTGAAAATGACAACTACAAGCTATACTGGGACCGCACTGTGCTTACAGACCAACCAGTGGCCCATAATAGACCGGATCTCATACTAGTTAATAAACTTACTAGACAAACAACACTTATTGATGTGGCGATACCCAACACCAATAATTTAGTTGTTAAATACAACGAAAAGATCGCCAAGTACAGAGATCTAGAAATACAAATCAGGAGACAATGGAGAATGGAAAGTACCCAGACACTACCTATTGTTCTATCTACTACTGGTGTTATTCCCAAAAACCTCCTAACGAACATAAAACAACTAGGTCTAAATGAACATCTTTATAAGGCCATGCAGAAAGCTGTACTCCTCGCGACGTCCAGATGTGTACGAAAATTTTTGGGAGATACTCCAACATACCAAGTCACCTAGGACTCGATAACATGGAAAGAGTCCCACCAGAGCTCAATCCTTTTGATACCGTAGGTATCTGGGATGAGTGAATTTTCCCCTTAGAGGGAGTGTGAGCCGTATGGCTAAATCTGGATAATAATAATAACATGGAAAGAGTCCCACCAGAGCTCAATCCTTTTGATACCGTAGGTATCTGGGATGAGTGAATTTTCCCCTTAGAGGGAGTGTGAGCCGTATGGCTAAATCTGGATAATAATAATAAGAGAAGAAAAATATTATTAGAAAATTTAGTTGTTTAGAAATTGATTAAACATACTAGAATTTTAAAAAACATTTTATTTTATATCACTTTTAATGAGCTATAAAAAATAACCTATAACTACGTGTTTAAATCAAAGGCTATATTTTATTACCTTTCACATAAAGAACTGGAGGACAAAATTTTACGATTTACTGAACATTTTAGTTTTGTTCGTTATTCTAAAAAGTGTGGTAACACTTATAACTATTAAAATTTTCTTCCTAATATTATTTTTCGTGTATTTTGATTAAAAATATCACATAAGATTATTAAAATTAATAAAACCTATATAATTAAAATGTTTGCTATTTTCTTGTATATTTACATGTTCTCACCTCCAATAAAAAAAATTAATTAGAAAAGTACATGGTGTCCCAAATTGGTATGTTTTACAGGGTATACCCAAAACTAGAGGACATTACGTAATCAAATCATCAATCGCTCCTCACATTAGCGAGATACAGGGCCGTTATTGAAAAATGTCGAAAACGACAGGGTTAAATATCTTCTTTATTAGAACAATTTAAAAAAACTGTATTAAAACTTTTAATAATAGATATATTATGGAAGCGTTCAGTGGCGTACGAGAAATTTTTTTAGGTACAGTAGAACCTCGATTATGCGTCTCTCTATTAACCGTCACCTCTGTTAACCGTCAGGGTCCATACATAGGTTATATTGACAACATAAGTAAAAATTTAGTTATCAATTCATTTTGTTT